TCTGATTCTGAAAAGAATACTCATGCAAAAAGGGAAGTTTCTATTCTTTCTCAGTATTCAATTCAGAGGGAGATTCATAATCTCAGGGGGAGTTATATTTATTTCTTTATTGAACAAAATTTCTTATGTTTTTGTCATCATCAAAAAGAGGGAGATTGTTAGAACACAGATTGGTTCTTAGTTATATCTCTATGTTTTGATGATAACACTAATGAAATTTTGTATTAAGAAATTATATACTCTAAATTTGTTCAAGTATTTTTGCTACAGATATTAAATTTAATATTCTTCTGATAGTAAAAATGGATCTGAAAGTAGAACTACGCAAGACTCTGAAGCAGAAGCTACAGAAGCATCTAAAGCATAGACTGAAGACTTTGTATGAAGAGTTTCAAGCACTGTTTTTCAGAAGACTCTGATAGTACTGTTTGCTGCAAGTACTGAGGATCTGATCTCCAAACTCTGCTCTGATTAATTTCACGCTGAAGCACACTTGCTGCAATACTCTGATACAGCAAACTCTGATGACATCAAAGACTCTGATCACTCAAGGCTCTGATGTTGATTGCTGTGAAATAGAAACTTGTTGAAGAAGATTATTCAAAGTTATATCCGTTGGTTATGCCAAACGACTCTTTCCTCTTTCATGCTAGACACAAGAACTCAGACAAAAAGGATTTCTCTGAACGTTCTACTTCTAGGAAAGGTCAAGTGATGTGAAGACAAAAAGGCTACAGCTACTTTGCAGTACACGGTCTTCAAGCTTGCAACGTCTTGGACTTCTTCATCTATAAAAGCAAGACTTCAACAACTTTCTATAGTTGAAGAAAATTGATAAAACTATTGAAAACTCTCTCAAAGCTCTCATAAAAATTATTATTCTTTGCTGAATAGTTTCATACGTTCTTAAACTTAAGTGTAAATCACAGTTGTGATATAGCTTTCTTAGAAGAATTTTCAAACACTTGTTTAGTTTACATTTGATTGTAAAAGTTTCTTGATAAGATCAAGTTGTGGTCAGTAGTTCTTGAGAAGAGTAAGACAGTTGTTCTTAGTGGTTGATATTGTAATCAGCTTGATTATAGTGGATTAAGTCCTTGTAGAGAAAGACAAATCACTCTTGATAGGGTGGACTGGATTAGTTGAGTTCAATGAACCAGGATAAAAAAATTTGTGTTTTTATTGCCATAATATTTTCTAAATCCTTATTCACCCCCCCCCCCCCCCCCTTCTAAGTATTTTCTCACCTTCAACGTGTTGTTCATGAGTTCAGTTCAAATGATTTTGCTGCTTTCACACCCTTTGGCTTTTGTTTATTTTTATTTCATTTTTATTTCTAGCTTTCATTTGTTTTTTTTTAAAATAGTTCTTTAATTCATAATATTCCCAAAAAATATTTTCTTGACAGTTTGAAATGTCATTTAATTTTCCATGATTTTTATTTTTTTTTCATTTACTTTTCTATTTTAATTGGAATTTAAAAGTCAAAGTGTTTTATGGTGTGTACCCTAACTTGATCATGGCCATTGACCTTCACTCAAATACCCCCCATGACCAACTATTTTATCCCACTTAGATGATGGATTGAAGGAGTTTTGAGGGCTGATTTGAGTCATTGTTGATCAATTTTCATTTAGTTTTGCTTTGACTTTTGTTGACCCTCGATAAGGTGGAACACCATGCTTTTGAACTTTATTTAGTGGTGCCTTGATCAAGCTCTTTGCTTGGGCTTTTAATATTTGTTTGCCCTTTGTTTTAAGCTTGTTTGAGCATTTTATTTGGGATTTATTGAACTTTCCTCCTATTTTTGGTGAATCTTGCAGGTCAAGTTACTTTTATGGTTGTTTACACATGCTAGTTTGACCTAGTTCTTTGGGATATGATCTCAAGTGATCCCATATGCATCTTGTGAGCCTTGTTACATTATTCTAACATGCTTAAGGTGTTGTTTTGCTTGTCTTGGTTCATTTACATGTGTAACTTGCATTGTAAGTCATCTCTGAATCATGCTTCTCCACTTGTCTTAAGTGTTGAGATTGTGTTAGGACTTTGGTTCTTTCACTTCATATGATCATACTTGTGTCTTGCCTCTTGTTTTAAGTTTGATTTGAGTCTTTTCTCTTGTTGATTCACCTCTTCCCCATGTTGTTTTGACCTTTGTTCATAATAATTTGGTGTCTTTTGTTTACACTTTGAGTTTGTCATGAGCATTGTTGGTTGTCTTGCATTGTTTGCTTGCTTTTCCTTGTATGATCAAAGATGAATGTTTGGTTGAGATAACCTTGATGTGGTTGCTGCCCTATCCTCTTTCTCCCATTATTTCTTTGATCATGGTTCTTTGCTCTTGTTTTATGATTAGCATTCTTCTTTGATGATTGATGTTTGGTGGTTGTAGGAGTTTCACTCCTCCCATTTCATCTCATCTCTTGTTGACTTGTTTAAGTCCCTTGCTTGTGTTTGAGTCTCATTTTGTTGTTGAGTCTTTGTTGCATCTTTGCATACTTGCATGCCATGTTTGCATTTCATCTTGCTTTGACTTGTTTAAGTCACTTTCATCTCTCATCTCTCTTCATCTGTGATTGAATTGCTATGTGTTTACTTGTGCTCTTTTGCCATGATCCCTCAGGATTCCTAGTCCCTCTGTTTAAGATGGGAGTAGGAGAGACATTAGGCTTTCAATCCTTTGCATGATAACATTAGGATAGATTTTCCCATTTCAATCTCAATTTTAGGATCACATTACATGATAACATTAGGGTTGATCAGTTCCCATTAGAGTTTGTGTCTTCTCTTCTCATCTCATAACTTCATAAGACACTTAATAAAGGTTAACACTTGTTCTACACTACGAGCCTTAAGTATTTGAGGAATGATGAGTGGGGGGCTCCTCTCACCTTGTCTAGAGTGTTTAGCGTATGCCCTTTAGGTGATATGCGACACATTCGCTCTCAAGTCATAGTCTTTAGTGCAACATGAGTTACGAACTTAACTCAATTCACTTCTTGTCTAAAAAACACAAACAAAATCAAACTTTTTTATCCTTCGGGATTGTTTACAAATCATTTTCAGAAAGAGTGTGTTAAGTTTTGGTTCTACCGCAAACAGGCGTCGTCCCTAACTGCTAGAACAATTATTTAACCCTACTCATTAAAACACTTGAACCGACCGGTGGTCGTGTTAGTCCGAACTACGTTTGCTCTAATTTCTCATACCAGATGAGGATACGTAGGCACAAGACGACGATGTCTTGGTGAGGAACCTTCCCCCCTTCACCCGTAGTTTTTTGAATTACGTTGACTCTGACTTTTCCATTGCACGAGGGAATACGTAGGCATAAGGCGGCGATGTCCTATCGAGTATGTGCTTTTCCCTTTTTCACCTGTTTAGCGGTAGGATTAGATAGTTTTCACCCGTAGTTTAGACAACTACCGTGGATCCTGTTGAATACAATGGACGTTAGGGGTGCTCATACCTTCCCCTTGCATAACCGACTCCCAAACCAAAGATTTGGTTGCAATGACCTTGTCTTTTCCCTTTTTCGTAGGTTTTCTTCAATCGTTTCCTTTCTCTCTCTTTGGGATAAATAATGAACGGTGGCGACTCTTCTATCAGTCAGCCGTCCCCTTTTTTGCAGTAGCGACAATACCATCCGCCATCTCCTCGACCTGATTGTCCGACAAGACCGAGATTCCTGCGCTCCAACATCCTCGACAAGTCAGACCGATCAAGTTCCTCCTCGCGCTCTTTACCCTCGACACAGCAGTCCCGCCAGGGACCCTTCTCGCGCATTCTTCCTTCCCGGCGCAGTACCATCAAGTCCTCGCTCCTTCACTTTGGAGCTACAACTTGGGGGCTCCTATTCTGGACTGGGCCCAGGCCTGACCGGGCAGGCCCAACCCCACGCTATTTGGGGAAGGCCCACCAGGCCCAAATTACCCTGATGTCGAGCACAAGTGCTCCCGTCAAGCAGGACGCTTCCTCCGTCGAGCAAGACGCTTTCTCAGTCGGGCAGAACAACGTGTCCTCCACATGTTCTCCACGTGCTCCCCTCCGCGGGGACACGTCATCGTCCAACTACCCACCTCCGAAAGAGATGGTCAAACCACCTTCCGGAGATCACAGACGGTTGAACTAGGGAGAAGACTACGTGTTGGTTTTCACTACGCCATGTAAGTCCTAGCAGTCACCTGGGTTGGACCTGACAACTCAGTCCAACACAAGTGACTGTTGGCCCTGCACTGAGGTCTCTCTATAAATATCTTCTTTCACAAGAGGGTCAGGTATTCAATTCTTAACCTCTCTTCTGTATTTACTCCCAGTTTGTTCCATTACTTACTTTGCCATCGGAGTGTCTTGCAGGTACACCCCCTCCTCATCCATACTCCTTGTGAGTAGCTTGCAGATCAACGACGCGTGGAAGGTCATTGTTTCCCTTCTGATCAGGTCAGATCAAAAACAATTTGAATTTACATATTAATATATCAAATATTTGTATCATTGTTGTACTTATTTGTAATTCTCATAATTTATTTATATTTAGATTAGTAAAATACTATGCAACAATTAAGACAGGAGGAAACATTAAGTCGGATACCATTTGGTTGATCGGGTGTTTTTTGAAGATATATTTGTGAGAACATTAAATATTTTATTTGAAGATAATCTCTAACTCTAATTTCTTTTATTTTTAGCATGAAAGTTTTAGTTGCTTAGATTAGTTTGGTATTAGTTGAAAATTTGTCTTTTTGCCTTTCAGGTTGTAATGGATTAGAATAATCTTTGTATTTTTTCTAATAAAGAATTGTTTTAAGAAAAAACACTATTTAACTACTATTAATATTAAAAAACCATAAAGTAAAATGTTTGTTGGATAGAAAAAGACATAAAAGAAACTTAAGAAAATGTGAAGTCAATTTTCTACTCTATTTCCACTTTTCTCTTTGTTTGTGAAACAAGTCCAAAAAGGCTACACAACATTATTGGGAAGGGTGATTTTGTTGATGGGTCCTTCAACCACAGGTTAGTTTCCCTTTTGATTCTCTCTAGATTTTGATTCCGTGGTGGTGTTTGTAATGATTAGTAAGTGGTCACAAAATGTTCACACATTTTTTTAATTTTTATTTTATTTTATGATCTGTGCTTTTTCTATATAAAGGGTTTTGATTTTCAGAGACCTTTTTTATTTTAGTTTTTCTACCCCTTTTGAAAACCCTACTAAGGGTCAATTTGGTTTAGGAGTGAAAATTTTCTGGATGAATTCTCAATAATTTTACAAATAATATTATGATTAGATGCATGTCCTTGGATTTTAATTCTATTCCAAATTGATTGGAAAAAGGGTTTTCTTTTCTACAACACAATTCACATGGGAAAAAATTACTGTGATCTGAGTCCAATTATGATTTGAATTATTGTTGTGGGGGTTCTTGTGAATTTGGTATTAAGATTTATTACTTCTTTTTGTTTAATTTTGGTTTATAGTCAATGATGGTTAATCAATTTTTGTAAGATATCAGTTGCTTCACGAAGTGAGGGTGAAATATTGCAGTCTTCCAACTTGAAAAGCTTTAGCTACGATCAGGTAAGAGTTGCAACGAGAAATTTCCGGCTAGATAGTGTCTTGGAAGAGGGTGGTTTTGGTTCGGTTTTTAAGGGTCGGATTGATGAACATTCACATGCTCCAACCAAACCTGGATTGGGGATTATTGTTGCTGTGAAGAGGCTTAATCAAGATGGCTTTCAGGGTCACAGAGAATGGTTGGTTAGTATCAGTTTTTCTCCGGATACTCATATGATGCTGATGCATATTCTTCTGGTTTTATATTTTAATTCAGTGTATATTACCAAAATTTTAGGCAAACTGCAAGTTATTTAACACTGAAACTTCAGCTTAAAGAGATGTGTCTTATGTCCGACACATGTAGTAACATTCAATTTCTTCCTTTTTTTTCAATTATTATCAGTGTCAATGTATTGAGAGTGTTGGCGTAGCACCTTTAGTAGAAAAGATAGTGGATAATAGACTTTGGTGGTTTGAACATCTAGAGAGAAGACCTGTAGATTCTGTAGCAAGAAGAGTAGATCAGATAGAGAGGGGTCATACCACTAGCGTTAGAGGAAGACCTAGCAAAAACTATAAGAGAAGTTATTAAAAAAGTTTTTGAGATTAACGATTTGGGTAGAAGCATGGTCTTAGATAAAAAATTATGGTGGAAGTTGATCCATGTAGTCGACCTCACTTAGTGGAATAAGGCTTGGTTGTTGTTGTATCAGTGTCAATGTCGTGTCCGAGTCTTGAGTCAGTGTTTCATAGATTTCAAGCTTTTTTGTATGCCCTATTTGTTCTCCTTTGATCTTAAACTTTAACAGTTCACTATGGATCGACTTGATTATCGTACGGAAGTTCAACTGATGTCCATTAATGATTGTGAAGTGTACAATAGTTAACATTCTTCATCTTTTGTTTTGTTTTGTTTGGTTCAGGCTGAAATCAACTATCTCGGGCAACTTCAGCATCATAATTTTGTCAAACTAATAGGATACTGCTCTGAGGATGATTATCGGCTTCTGGTTTATGAGTTTATGCCGAACGGAAGCATGGAGAATCATCTTTTTAGGCGTGAGTATCTTCTATTTCAGTTGTATATTATAATTCCTTGTTTTGTTCCGTATTGACCCTTGTAACAAAATTATGTCCTAATACTGTTCTTGTTCGAAATTATTATCTTTAATACAGGTGATTCTTATTTTCAACCACTCTCTTGGAGTTTGCGAATGAAAATAGCTCTTGGGGCTGCTAAAGGTCTCGCATTCCTCCATAGTACAAAACCTAAAGTCATATACCGTGACTTCAAAACTTCGAATATACTACTTGATTCTGTATGTACACCACATCATCTTTAGCGTAGTATTTTTATGGTTGAATATGATTGATTTAGCTGTGGATTACTAAGATTTTCGATGACTTTGTGCTTTGCAGAACTATGAGGCCAAACTTTCTGATTTTGGGTTGGCCAGAGATGGGCCAACCGGTGATAAAACTCATGTCTCTACTCGGGTCATGGGAACCCGTGGATATACCACACCTGAGTATGTATCAACAGGTATTAACAGCTCTGGTGTTTCCTCCACAAGTTCCTCTCGTATTATGAAACTCTGACACAGACACGACACTATCACGTCGATCCTGATAATAATACAAGAAAATAAATTAATTGAATGTTATCACACGGGTAAGAAAATAAATTAATTGAATGTTATCACACGGGTCAGGAAATGATACCTATCAAAATGTTTGTTGCTGAATATGTTTTGTTGTTGGTCAGGCCATCTTTCGGTGAAGAGTGATGTATATAGTTTTGGAGTAGTTCTTCTGGAAATGATATCAGGAAGACGAGTCATAGACTCTTACCTACCATCCATAGAACACAACCTAGTTCACTGGGCCACGCCTTACATATCCAACAAACGCAGAGTTTTTCGCGTGATGGATCCATAGCTCGAAGGTCAATATTCACAAAGCCAAGCTCATGTTGCAGCCGCCCTTACTTCGCAATGTCTATCGGTAGAGCCTAGAATCAGACCAAATATGGACGAGGTTGTGAAAACATTGGAGCAGCTTCAAGAACCAAAGGATACACAAAAGGAAGGTTCTGATCATTGCATTCGCAATCAGGGTTATCAAATTGCGGCACCATGGCGGATATACATGACAGTTTTTGGGCTTGCCGCAATGGTAAATATCGGCCGATATTGCGGGTTTTTCTGCCATAATCCGCGATAATGGCGCCTATAACAGCGCTGTTTGCAGCCAGTGTGGCAGGATTTTGGCTCTCCCCCATGGACCGCCATCGAGAACACTGTTCGCAATACGGGACTTGACCACAATGCTTCCGGCAAAGGTATTGCAGATGCTTCTAGAAAGGCTTCTGCTTTTTCTAGACCTTCTGCTTCTTTCAATGCTTGAGAGTTTTTGTGACGTTGCGACATATGCGAAAAAGTTCAGAGGTTTAGCTGTTGTACTATGAACCATATTTATGCAAGCAATGTATAGTTTGTGTTTTGTATGTTTTTAATTTGAGGCACATTAAAAAATTCAGTTCTATTGATCCTTAAGGTGTTTATTGCTTTTGAACAACCATCTATGTATAAAACTGCAGCATAACATTATCTATGTGGATGATGTTCTACTTTTTGATCTTGCTTTTGAGACTCTGTCACATGTGGTGGTTTACCATACACACCATTATAAAATTTATTAAAAGCAAATCCCTCCACTTTACAATATTTTTACAAATTTCTCCACCTTCCATATAATTAGGGGTGAGAGATACATTTGTTAATCGACAATTTATTATTTTTTGTTTAATTTTGTTTTATATATAAACTAAGTTATATGTAAACTGAGTGGTCCTAATTATTAGAAACCTACATTTAATTGGGAGAGTTAGGGTATGAACTCTGATCCTGACGTTCAATTTAACAACTGTGAGAGTTAGTGTTTGAATTTTGATTGTGAAAGTTAGTGTTTGAACTTTGATCCTGACGTCTAACTTAGTGATCATTGTTTTTATCAAAAACTTCCATAAGTCTATGAGAGTTATAGATGTCAAACTTAGTCATAATGCTTTTTTGTTAGAAACTTACACACAAATGTGAGAGTTTATGTTTGAATTCTGACTCCAACTAACTTAACAACGGTGAGAGTTAGTGTTTGAACTCCAATCTTAAAGTCTCTGAGAGGTAGTATTTGTGAGGGAAATTCCTCATATACCATATATATACTTATGTTTCGATGATGACAAAACGCATTCATGGAAGAATCAGTTTCTCGGCTCTACCACCATGAGGAAAATGCATGTCACACCTCTCATATATCTCTTGTGTGCATACCATGTCTATCTAACTTGCCATACTTGGTCCAACATGTTTGGAAGATCTTTGGTTGAGCTTAGAAGTGAAGAAATCACAAAATTCAGCATCTTTGCAAATTTACAGAGTTTGAGTCGACCACCGGTCGGCGCATGGAAAGTGAAAATTCCCACGGGTTGGCGTGAACTGACCTATGGTCGGCCGCTAGTTGGCGTGAGCTGACCTATGGTCGACCGTTCGCTTCATTTTCTGAAGGTGCCCAGAAAGTGAAATTCCCACGGGTTGGCGTGAGCTGACCTATGGTCGACCGCTGGTTGGTGTGAGCTGACCTATGGTTGACCGTTCGCTGCGTTTTCTGCTGAAGTTGAAGAATTTCCACTTATTTTGAAAAGTTGTTATGTCTGTTGGCTTTGGGTTACTATATGTAGAAGTTTTGTTCATTTTTAGAGATAACAATTGAAATTTTGAGTCAATTGTACAAGAACAAGAAAAGTGAAATAGGTGCCATCAAATCTCTTCATCTTCATCCTCAACAGTTCACAACACAACAATTACACACAATAATTCTTGATGTGCTTTGTGTTTTGTTCAAGGTGATAAGGTCTGAAGCCGTCGATTGGAAATCCGGTTCGGGTTGAGCTTATGGCAGGTTTTTCTTGAATAAAATCTGGAAGGTTTTGTCCTCCAAGATTCGGAGAATTTGGGGATTTTTGATATGGATCGTCTCTACCAACTTTCAGCTGAGCGAAGGTGATTGAGAAGCGGAAGGTTTTGTCAATCTAGTAGCGGGAATCAATGAAGTGTGCAAGAGAGTTCCGTGTTCGATTTATGTGTGCTTGAGATCAGCCGGGCTGAGGGTTTGAAGAACGGAAGGTTATTCAACAAAGGGGCTGTAATCGGAGGTCTACTTACAACAATCGAAGAACTTGATTCGACTCGAATCAAGGAACAAGGAGAGAAAACATCATCAACATCAAGAGAGCTTGTTTGTATATTTTGCTTGTCTATCATTGTATAAACGTTTCAACTCTACAGGTGATATCTATTATATTGAGCTCAATTTTATTATTAGAATTGAGGGCAGACGTATCCCGAAGCGAGGACGGCGGGGGAACTGCCTTAACAAATCTTTGTCTCCTTTATTTTTCTGCACTTTCATTTTTGCTTTAAAATTGAGTAATTTTAGTATAAACAATTTTATCGAAATTAGTATTGGATTGAGTAAGTGCTTATCACTGTTTTAAACTCTAGTACAATAGTATATTGTAAAAGGAATCTAGAGTTACTTACTCAAGTCAAAACTCACTTGGAGTGCCTCGCACACCAAGTGTTTGATAAATTGTCTACACCAAAATTCACTTGTGTTGTTTACATATTTTGTGGGCATTATGTAGCATTGGAACTAGTCCTACTAATTAGTGGTAAAATCAATTGATAGTGTGACTAGTGTGTTGAATCTATTTGGTCATTATCATTTCCATAAGGCTAGACGCATATCCGGTCTTCTAATAACGGTTCATTTTAGACAGTAATTTTTCCACGGCTGCTTCCGCAAATCAAATATTTTTTAAAACCAATTTTTAATTGGTAAGCGCCTACTGATTTTAATTGGGGTCTATTCAACCCCCCCCCCCTTTCTAGATCCGAGCCATCGTCTAACAAGTGGTATCAGAAGCACCGGTTTACTCCGTGCTTCAAATATAACTTTGATAGAAAATGGCAAACGAACCTAAAGGGGCTTATAATAGAGCTCCCGTTTTTAATGGAGAAAATTACAGTTATTGGAAGGACTGTATGCGTGTGCACATAAATTCCATAGATAGAAAAGTGTGGAATGTTATTCTCAATGGTCCAATGGAAATAACTATGACCAATGAAAATAATGAGATTGTGCCTAAGCCTGAAGCACAGTGGACTGATGATGATGAAAAGAAATATAAATATGATTGGAAAGCCAAGAATATTTTGATCTCCTGATTAGGAGTTGATGAATATTATCGGGTTTCTCATTGTCTTACGGCAAAAGCTATGTGGGACTCATTACAAGTCGCCCATGAGGGGACTAATGATGTTAAGCTAGCTAGAATCAACACACTAACACAAGAGTTTGATCTCTTTTACATGGAGCAAAGGGAAACCATTGCAGACATGCAAAAGAGATTCACTCATCTCATCAATAGATTGCATTCACTAGGTAGGCCAGTGGCCAATGATGTTGCTACTAATAAAATTTTGAGATGTCTTAACAGGGAATGGCAGCCGAAGGTAACCGCCATCAAGGAAGCTAATGACCTCACAATTTTGGATTTAACAACATTGTTTGGAAAGCTGCAAGAGCACGAACAAATGCTCCTAAGCCTAGACCAACATGAAAAAAAAGAAAAGAAGGACAAAACAAAGATAGTTGAAACGAAATCTATTGCTCTTAAGACTTCCTCCTCAAAGTCTAAATCTAAGGAGCATAGTGATTATTCATCGAGTGATGATGAAGAAGATGACAAGAGTGAGGACATGGGGCTGTTTGTAAAGCGCTATAATCGCTATGTGAGAAAGAACGGCATCCAACACTCCGAGAAGAACCTTGTCAACTTCCGAAAGCAATACAGGTACTCTAGAAATGACGACACAAAAGGGAATAAAACTAGAGGATCGTGCTATACGTGTGGAAAGACCGGTCATTATAAACCGGATTGTCTTTTGAACAAAAAGGGCAAAGAAAAGGAATCAGATAAATCACATAAGAAGCCATCAAAGCCGAGAAGAGCATATATAGCTTGGGAAAGCGATTGTGACTCCTCCGAAGATGAAAGCTCAAGTGATGAAGAAGAATCCGTGAATTTATGTCTTTCCGCTCACCAAAAGAACAAGAAAAAATAGGTACGACATGCTAAATATGATAATTCTTCGAACATGTCTCATTTCGAATTACAAGCTGCATTTAATACTTTGCATTGTGAAGCTAAAGAAGCCTTTAAAAGGCTTGCCTCGAATAAACAAATTTTTGTTCACTTAGAACAAAAGATTCATGAGTCCGAAAGAAAACTCGAGGCACTTAAAGCTTCCATAGTGGAAAGTACTAAAGCAGGTTGTGAGGATCTTAGAAGTAGAATAATTAACTTTGGGTGTGACACTTGTTACATTTGGAAAAATGAAGTTAGAACCCTAAATGCCAAACTTAGCAAGGCTCTTGAGCCCAAAATTACTTTTGCTATCGATAAATCTGATTTTAGAGAAAGTATGATGAATCTATATAAAAAATACAAATATGTGATAAGGGATCAAGATAGCAAAGGCAATTCAAAAGTTAATTTTTCTTGTCTATATTGTTGCAAGAAAGGCCATTCCATTGCTAAGTGCCGTGTTAGGAGATTTCTAGTTTCTAAAGGCGTTTATCAATGGTTGCCCAAATGCGACCATTTTGTTACTCAAAACTTAGGACCCAATAAGCCATTGGGTACCACCTCTTGTTAATTGCTTTTTCATAGGTACAATGTCTTGAGAACCCTGAGAGAAGATGGGTTCTCGATAGTGGCTGCTAAAGACACATGTCAGGAGACATATCCCTCTTCATCAACTTCGTGGAAAAGAAGAAAGGGTATGTAACCTATGGAGACAATAATCGCGGTG